TATCAACCTTTTTAAGTATCTCCTATTGTTGTTCTTTATATTCCAAAACACGCTGTTTTGACATGTCTTGGAGCTCTTATTGTCGATTCCGTGTCGGTTGCAGCAAGAGATTTGCCTTTCATGGAATTGACCAGTCCCCGGGTTACCAAAAGCGATGCAGCATGTTCTCTTTTAGCTTGCTCCTTCGTCAAAATATTCGCTATTGAAGTTATAGTGCTTTTTTGAAGAATAATTTTATAAAAACGCCAATTTTGCGATTTAGTATTTTCTGGTGTTGGGCCGTCCCTTGGGTTGTGGAGCTTAGTTCTGCTTCCTATAGCTCCAGACCTGTTTACTCAACTCTTCACAGTCCACGCCTTACACCCTACTGGATGGAGAATCCCTGCAGCCTTTGGACTCCTACCCGGGAAGCGCACCATCATGTACGAGAACATCCTCAACGAACTGGACTCCTACGGACCCTTCTACCCTCAGTCGGTGCTGGTGGACTATGAAATCGCTATCAGAAACGCAGTCTACAACGTCTGGCCTGGTACTACCTTGAGAGGATGCTGGTTCCACTTCAAACAGTCCTTGTGGAGACACCTGCAGAGCGAGGGACTTGCTGCTGACTACTCTATCGACAACCCTCCTATCAGAAAGTCCTTCATGCAGATTGGAGCTCTCCCCTTCGTTCCAGTCAGTGATGTGGACCAGGCGTGGCGGCTTCTCAAACCTTCTCTTAGTGATTTAGTCCGGTAGTGATTCAGTCCGAAAATATACCTCAATCCCTACCAATAGTGATTGGTAGTGATTCAGTCCGTTAGGGATTCAGTCCGGTAGTGATTCAGTCCGCTCACCAGCTCTATATTGTGTATTAGGCCTAGGCTAGTTTTAAAGTTGAAATTCAAAAATTTGCACACTTGGGGACACGCCTAAATTGAAATAAAATTGCTAAAATCACTGAAAATTGCTATTTTCACCATTTTCTGTCAACTTTGGATTGCCGTTGTCATTATATAAAGTTCTTCTTGAAATCTTTTGAAACTTTGCAAGCTTGTCAAGATCAAACTTAAACTACAGGGTGACCCTTTAATAACTCACGTAATTCTTCTTAGAATAATTGCACAGAAATTTCAGAGATTATAGATATGGGTCAAATTTAGATTTCCTGAAAGTTTCGTCAAATTTAATTAATTACAGTGGGTTTGGCACGCCAATCTCTCTTTTTCGCTATTGTCACCATAAAGTGAGAACGCTTTCAGCTAGGAACTTCAAAGTTTCTAGACATATAAATTTTGCATATATGATATATGCAAAATTTCAAGTTGGTTGTTTACAATTTAACAGAGTTATGACCCTTTTAAGATATTGGAGATACTTGTAGCGCGATGCACTACTGGGTCGCGCGCGCATCAAATAATGCTTCTCGCAACCTTCGGTAGATCGGCGAGATGCACCACTGTGCCTCACCGAGCTGCGAAGGATTGACATCGTGAATCAAGGAGATACGTGATCTCGGCACTTTATAATCAGTGATTTCGATAGCCAATCAGTAATCTCATCGGGAGCTATTCGCTAGCGAGCAACAATGAGCTTCATTAGGTGGTAACGAGCATGTTGGTGGATGAAGATCTGATGGACCTTTACTGATAGTTGAAATTCGACATATGACGTCATCTAGCGTCATCTAGCGTCATCTAGCGTGAAATATCGCCAGATGATGATAGATGACGCTAGATGACGCTAGATGACGCTAGATGACGCTAGATGACGCGCTAGATGACGCCAATTAGCGACATTGTCGCTAAGTGCACGGCACCTTTCGAATGTCGCTATCTAGCGCTATCTAGCGCTATCTAGCGCTATCTAGCGCTATCTAGCGCTATCTAGCGCTATCTAGCGCTATATGACGCTATATGACGCTATATGACGCTATATGACGCTAGATGACGCTAGATGACGCTAAGCACGCAGCACTGACGCCAGGCGACAGATAGCGCTATTTTCATAAAAATTCTAGGGACGACATCTAGCGTCATCTAGCGTGAAATATCGCCAGATGATGATAGATGACGCTAGATGACGCTAGATGACGCTAGATGACGCTAGATGACGCGCTAGATGACGCCAATTAGCGACATTGTCGCTAAGTGCACGGCACCTTTCGAATGTCGCTATCTAGCGCTATCTAGCGCTATCTAGCGCTATCTAGCGCTATCTAGCGCTATCTAGCGCTATATGACGCTATATGACGCTATATGACGCTATATGACGCTAGATGACGCTAGATGACGCTAAGCACGCAGCACTGACGCCAGGCGACAGATAGCGCTATTTTCATAAAAATTCTAGGGACGACATCTAGCGTCATTTAGCGTTATATGTTGCCGCGACATCTGACGCTATCTGACGCTATCTGACGCCATCTAGCGACATCTGACAACATCTGACGCGACGACATCTGACGCAGGCGACATCAAGCGCTGGATAGCGGGATAGGTCAGTTTACGACAGTTCACGCTATCTAGCGCTATATAGCGCCAGATAGCGCTATATAGCGTCAGATGTTGTTGCGACATATAGCGCTAGATAGCGCTATTTGGCGTCATCTAGCGTTATATGTTGCCGCGACATCTGACGCTATCTGACGCTATCTGACGCCATCTAGCGACATCTGACGACATCTGACGCGACGACATCTGACGCAGGCGACATCAAGCGCTGGATAGCGGGATAGGTCAGTTTACGACAGTTCACGCTATCTAGCGCTATATAGCGCCAGATAGCGCTATATAGCGTCAGATGTTGTTGCGACATATAGCGCTAGATAGCGCTATCTGGCGTTAGATAGCGCTAAATAGCGTTAGATAGCGCTAAATAGCGAAGAATTTCGGGTCGTGTCAGTCCAGGCTATTTAGCGCTAGATGTCGCTATCTAGCGCTATATGTTGCTGCGTCAGATGTCGTTGCGTCATATAGCGCTAGATATCATATCCTATCACAGTAACAGTAACCCTAACCCTGTGTGTGTGTGTGTGTGTGTTTGACGGATGTTACTCGTCTAAATTTCTTCGAAGTAGCGCGCGCCGCTTTCTTCTCGAAAATGGCCCGACGGCAAGTGCTTGACATACGTTGCATGCCACTTTTCGCGCGCGAAGCGCGCGCCGCCGAAGGCGGAAAAAGGGGCATACAATGAAGGAATCGGACTTTTTCGAGGGACGCATATTCTGCGTCCCTATTATCCAATTTGACCAAATATGGGAGTAATTGACTGAGATGGTGCGCGCGCGCCACCAAAACAGTTAAATGCATTGTTTTTGACTAAGTTGCAATATTTGTGAGTTTACTTGGTATCTTTGTACTATTTTTATTATTTAAACGACTTAATTAAGTCATTGGAACCTTCATACGATGAAAAATGTAAATGTTTTAATATTTGTGTAAACTTAAAACTTGTAATTTTGTTCCAAACTGCTTAATTTTTGTACGGCGCTACTAATTCATGAAAATCGCGCAATATTTATATTTCGCATTGGATATACAGATGACCAATGATATCGCAGTATTAAAGTCATGTGATACCGCGATGAGCTAGCTGCAGGCGTCTGCCTAAGATCATATTTATGCTTTCTCCTCTTTTATCACTCGATAGCGGTAACTCTTTACATATGCTTTGTGCTTATACTTTTTTGTTCAACCTGTTGTTCAATTTGTTTAACATTTCTTCGGTTATTTCAAACCACTTCAGTTCCCAAATTTATACATCTAACCATCTCTCTGGTTGCTTCCATCTCGTTAAAGCCAAGGCTCGACCGGGACCGCTTTGTTCATGTTGGCCGGGACTGGGGAAAAGTGCCGGGACCGGGATTAGGGATCAGGATTAAGCCGGTATCCTGGTCTTATCACAAGTTGGGCATTCTCCAGTACTGTTTGGCTATTATGGCTAATCACCTCCAATCCAACCTCATGTTGATGTAGTAGAATCTACTTCTAGTTTCCTTCAATTCTGCTACCTCCAATCTCCATTCTAGCTCTTTCGAGCAATCTCTGAATGCTACTTCCTGCTCTATCTAGCTTCCATCAACGCTCAATAATTGTTATTATGCTACCACTAGCACTTGCAAATGTTAGCCCTATCCAGCAACCTCAGACTTATTCCTACTCTGTCCAGCTATCACCTGCAAATTACAAAAATCATATATTTGCGCCTATGAGGGTAATTTAGAAATTGCCCCCCTAGGGTTGGAACTACTGATAAAATTTGCGTACATTATCAATTCTGATCTAGAATGACCTTACAAAGGACCTGATTTCTAGAAAAGTTGTAGACACTAAACTGCATACTCGATTTCAATTAGCTTCTAGATTTTTTTCACTCTCGCCCCGGTGAAAACCGACCAAGTACGTGCACTCAAGCAGATCATTTTGGAATGAGGATCTCATAGCATGACAATTTAGCACTCTGGTGACAGGGTATGATCCAGATCAGAGGCCATAATCGCATAGCGGTTCTTGTTAGTGATTTCGATAGTGCAGTAGGTATAAATGTCACGGAGAATTTAGCTTTAGTATATCACATTCGATTCCTACTCCTCTTTGCAACTATCTCAAATATGCAACAGTCATTCCTCGACTCCTACTGAGAAGCCCATCTTCATCCAGGGACGAACAGCCGGCAGCATTAACCTTGTTCCGCTCTAGGGTCCTACGGCCTACCCTGGCGATTTGACTCCGCTCTAGGGTCCTACTTCCGACCAACAGTCCCCCGCTCGTCCTACAGCCAACAGGAGTACAGTACACGCAGTGAGTACACGCAGTGTAGCTCGTTACATCATATAATGTACATCTAGGGCAGGGTTTGACTGCCGCAGTAGTCCAACTGACAGTGAAGCGGGGACTGGTGTCGGTGCGTCAGGTACAACCAACTTCCGACTTATGTCGGCCATCTTGAATTCAGTCCATAATTTGTCGTTTTGTTTTGCGTTAGTGATTTATCGCTTACTTTCTACTCTGTATACACCGTGGTCCGTGGCCTAGGGACCGAAGGTAAAAGCTGTACAAAATGTATTGAACATTCCCTGCCCTTTCTTATTGAAGCCTATTACAATTTTTATAGCTTTTCTTTCCTCTGCGATTACAGATTAGCTGAGAGATTAACTCTCATACTGAGAGATTAACTCTCATACTGACACTGAACAAGCTCGGCGAATTTACTCTCCCTCTCAGGATTTGCCATGATCCTTATTATAGTTGAGTAATTAATCGAATAATTAGATCGTTGACATTAGCTGCAGTGAACGCATTGATTAGGACAGTTTTGTGAAACCGTGCTGTAGAGGTTATGTGCTGATTGATTTCAATAGTTTATTTACATTGTTTTTAAATGTCAAAATTTAAACCAACGGGCTGATACATCGGACAGTAAATCAAATTAGTTCATTATTCAGCCTATTCAGTATTCCTACCCAGAAATAATTGATTCACCGTGCCTCTGACCGTCAATTCGATTTCATTTATTAACTGTGCTTTACTGCAGGTGCTTGTCACATGGCTAGGATGTCTCAATCCAAGAGGAATGTTTCCGATGTGTGGACATTCTTTACTGTGCCAGATCCTGGAGGAAGTCCATATTATTATTTGGAGTGCTTGGCTTCTATCAGACTGGGAAAACTCAGGCCAAGCGGCCAAGGATTTCCAGGTATAATACTTTTGTTTTCTAGAAAATAACTTTGAGCTATATTTATAATGATTTAGGAACCTTTAGCCACAATATTTTTATAACGACTAATGTGCAGTCAATCGTGGACTCTAGCTGGAAAGGAACCAGCAACTATGAACAATCGATATGACTATAAAAATTACTAAATAAAGCTTATCCAGGTAATCATTTTATGGGATCATTTGCAACATAAGCACCCTTCTAAACACAAGGAAGCAACTGCAATACGTGAATCACAGAGGGTCAAGACTCAAGAGACAAAAGTCTGATGAAGTCGAAGCTGAGCGGAGATCGATGTATCAACTGACAACATCTAATCAGCGGGGGCAGTCTGGAGCGGCGCCACTGTTACTAGACTGATGAACGTCAAAAAGATCTAAAAAGTTGCTCCTGAAATGGATTATTGATCAGATGCTCCCCTACACGACTGTTGAGAATGAACATTTTTAACAGTTTGTTGACGGTAAGATTCATTTGGGACGTTTTAAATAACTTAGCTCAATAACAAAACAACTTTTCTAGGCTCGAGCTGTGATGACTCCAGATTACAATTCCAATTGAGTTCTTTGTGATGATAAAATTGATTGCTATTAAGTAAATTAGCAGCAGATTGACAATCATTTGTTGGATAATCATTTACAGATAATTTAAGATCATCTGACTTCCGACTCATTCAGGTTTGAACAAGAAGTTTGACATACCCTCAGAAAAGGTGGTGCGCACAAAACTGTTTTCTGAATTATATAATAGAGTTTAAACTGAAGAAATCGATTGATGATAGCCTGAAAGGAGCTGATTACAGTCTGAGCTGTGATGTTTGGTCGTCAAAAGCGCTGGATTCCTATTTGGGGGTCATAATACTACAAAGTTCATCGTTGTCTGCATCTCAACAGGTCAGTTTACATGCAGCTCTTTTGACTCATTTCTCATTTTCTGAGTGGCACTAGTTAACATCAAGTTTAGAGAATCAATGTCTTTGGAATGTAACTGAAACAAATTCTTGTCCTCTAGTCTGGACCTCCTAATTCCTAGCTCACTTCTCAATGTACAGGCTAAGTATTGATCAACTGAATTTTGCAGATGACTCCTCACGATTGGGATCTTCTGACCAAGGCTATTGCGGTACTGAAGCCATTCTACATCACCACAAAAGCGGCGGAGGGGGACAGGGTTTTTGTTTCGGAGGTCATCCCAAATATAAAGAAACTGGATTACGCTATCAGGAGTCGGAACTCTTAAACCCACACTGCTTTCCGAAATGGCCAGGTATGAATCATGATCCGTAATTTGTACCATCAATTGTACTTATCTGAACCGGCCTACCTGGATTACCATCTACCTCTCTTTTCCTCAACAATCAGACCGAGTAGTGCAAGAAATGTGATTTATCATAGCTCATAATAATTACATCACCCACGAAATGCGATATGAGTCATATCGCATTTGCTGGGTGATTTCTTTGGTTACTTTGGTGTGCTTCATAGAATCCTCTATCGGGTCATCATAGTTGCTGACCACTCGGATAGCGAGATCGCTGCCTTTATTCCACTCCAGTCCAGTAACGAGTTTCTATTTCGACAGCTGTATCCTGCCACTAGTGACTAGAGGCTCATCCGGGAATGATTTCACAAATGTTGTAAGCATTTCTTTAAAGTGCAGGGGATCTTCGATAGTATGCAATATGCATGTTTGGTGGGATTAAATAATATCGAGCTGTTTTCTATCACAATAAGACACAATAGCACGCAAGTCATCCCACATATGTTAAGTCATATCTAGGATATGGGAATTGAAAGTTGAAATGCCGAAAATCGATTAAAAATTCTCGTCGATATGATCGGGCCATACGTTTGATCATCTATGGAGATTGGAGGTCGCTCTGATTTAGTTATTGTAAATGTAAAACCAAGTATGTGATATATGAACTTGCAAGTGACCCATGCAACAACCATGTGGTCAGTATTCATTTTTAACCTCCGGTTTGTGCTACCAAGCATTGATTCAGGCGTTATCGGTCGCTCTGCATGTCGTTTTAAGTTACTTTTCAAATACATCCTAATGTTGGGTTTTTTATAAGCTATTCATATAAAAGAAATATTTTTGGGTACCCAAACAAATCAACAATCATGGATTGCCTGTACAGTATCTTTACGTATCATCTAATGATCTATTGTGACATAATATATTTCAGGAGACTGAAGAAATCCAAAGATAGTGCACCGATCTAAAGAGAATGAGTTAGAAGACCTTCGGAATCTGAAAGTGGAGTCGCTATACTTTGACGGGAGAAAATATGCAGCATTGTGATGAGCTTAGGATCGACATTCGACAACTCGCCACTAAGATCTTGTAGCTGTTACGCCACTTACGTCAACACCGGACGTCACAATGGGATTATAGCCCTCTTGGAGAAAAATTTTTGGACGGGAATCGCAAAGATTTATTTGGTGCCTTCACAGGATAGAACTGCCATTAAAAATTTAAGGGGTTCTGAGTCCTGAACTTTCGAGAGAACGAATTGGTTCTCTCAGCCACGCAAGGTGGATTACAATGCAGTCGAGTTAGTTATATCATCAATATTTACTTACCGCTTGATTTGAATATCAAGTATAAAAGCTCAGTTGTTAATGGTGTAGTTAACTTGTATGAGGAAGTAACATTGGTCAGGAAACACGTTAAGGGTAAAGTTGACAGGGAAATTTGTTTAGAAGTTTAACGAAATAATTCTTATTTTGAACACCCCCATAACATTCTAATTGCCATGTTAGCTGACGATTGTTCTGTTATTAAAAAAGAGGCTATAGAGAAGGTTTCTGAAGTTGTATATCAGATGTTTTGTCGTTAAGCTATGTTCTGCCTAAGTTGGATGTTAAGGCGGGTAAGGCCACCGTTAAGGCCACTAAGTATTCCGAGTTGTGTTCTACGAGTAAGCTAGAATATGGTAGCATATTTATATTAAAGGGATTAGATTTACTTTTGTTTTGTTTTAGAACCATCTACTTCTGAGCTGCCCTGTCAAAATTAAAAGGGCGTACAGGTTGTCTCGGCAAAAGCCTCTTTAAATTATTAATGGACGATCCTAAAGACCGTAATTTGGTCATGAACACTTCAGAAGAATTGAATGAAATAAAGGATATTGCCCGCTGTAAACAATGTTGAAGGACAAGTTCGACAAACCCTAAGGTTCGACTCTGAGTCTGTCGAACTAAAGTGCTCTATCTGGACTCAAGTTCGACACGTACTAAAGTTAGACAAAACAACTTTGACTGTCGGACTACAGTTTTGAAATCTCCAATATCAAGCAACGATCCTTAACGAGCTTGTCATTTATTCGTTTGTGTGTTTTCAACTTGTCTCATGCTGTTCAATTATTTGTTTATATAATTTTATAATCCATATCTATGGAAATTTAATTGACCTCATACTCAATTGTTAGTTATTAGAATTGTAGGCTTAACGGAGAAATAAAAGAGTAACGTGGCAACTCTTACTTCGTATTATAGATCTATATTGTAGATTATGCTAGTTGAGTATTTAGCTAATTAGTGATTCACTCCCGGCGCGAGAACAAAGCGCCAGGAAAATAAGACAATTTTTCGCGCGAACTTGTAAATTTACTTACGCCGCGCAGAGGTGTTCCTTCCTGGTGTATCCATATTATCTCTGATATTGGGATACGAAACATGTATCAAGCAAGTGCTACGAAGTAGCGCGCGCCGGGCCAGATCATTAACAATGGTCAAGTGTGTGTGTGTGTGTGTGTGTGTGTGTGTGTGTGTGTGTGGGTGTGTGTGTGTGTGTGTGTGTGTGTGTGTGTGTGTGTGTGTGTGGGTGGGTGGGTGTGTGTGTGTGTGTGTGTGTGTGTGTGTGTGTGTGTGTGTGTGTGTGTGTGTGTGTGTGTGTGTGTGTGTGTGTGTGTGTGTGTGTGTGTGTGTGTGTGTGTGTGTGTGTGTGTGTGTGTGTGTGTGTGTGTGTGTGTGTGTGTGTGTGCAGCCTGTCTTTCCCCACCCAATCTTTTTTGTTATTTTTATTTTGTATGAAAATTAATTTTTACTGTGTATGAAAATTAATTATAATTTAAGTGAGAATGATATAACTATAAGCTTGCGCGCGCGTCGAAGTCACCCAACTATTACACTCGATTTATTAAATATTCGGCTGAGTGGAACAAAATATTAAATATCGCTTAATCAAGGGGTCGTTTACATATTATAATTATATAAGGGGCCTGATGCCGCCGGCCGGGGTTTTTCAAATTATTACGCTTACTAGTGTGATTGTGACACAATACTGATAGCTTAATAGCTATGTATGGAATTGGAGGACTTCGCCGCTTCGACACGCCGCGCAAACTAGTATTTTTGCTTCGCATCGAATCGATCGTCGTCGATCGATCGTCGTCGATGGAGCAACGATCTCGATGGATTGTCATCGTCAATCAATGTATGGAACTGATTACTAACAATGAGGGGTCGTTCACATACTCCGTAATCAGTTTTACCATAGCTATTATGTCAATATTACACTAGCGTAATCAATAATCATTTGGAAACCCCAACCTCCTCAGCTGATTACGTTATATGTAAACGACCGTCGACCCTTAACATTTCGGGATCGGAATTAACGGGTGATACTCGTAAAATCTCTGTTCCATATATTAGGACCGTCGACGAGTCCAACTCGGCGCGCGTCCTGGTAGGTTGTAAACCTACAAGATCGGAAAAAAGCGGCACGTACTAGATTTCGACGAAATTTATACAAGTAACTAACATCGTTGATTCATGATGCCAATCTTTCACAGCTCAGTGGTGCATCTCGCCGAAAAGCATTATTAGATGCCGAGAAGCATTTTTGGATGCGCGGCGCGACACAGTAGCGCATCTCGCCGATCTGTGAAAGCCTTATTGAGTGCGCGGCGCGGCACAGTAACGCATCGCGCTACAAGCGTAGTTCGTAAACTGAAAACTCTTGGGTACGATATATGATTATGTTCATAAACATAAAATAAAGATTCGGCGGAATGACAGGCTGAGCGCCGCCCAGTAACCTTGATAGAGTTTTTTTAGAGTGCCCGGCGAGGTGTTTTTAAACTGATTGATATTATGACGCGGACAATAAATTAGTCCATCCCCTATTGCGGGGGGGGGGGGGGGGCTTTCAATCTATCAACGATCGTTGCTCTGCTTCGCAGAGCACCGAACTTGATGGGTTGACATCGTTTTGCTCTATCCAGAGCCCTTGCGCTTGCAGTAGCGCGCGCCAGCCTTACGGCGGTAAAAGGGCTCTAGCCAGCAACCCACCCAACGATTTTGGCACCACTCGAGTGGTGCCAAAATCGTTGGGTGGGTTGCTATGATCATATAGGGTGCCAAAATTTCCCGCGCTTTTGTCCTCATATGCAACGTGTGTAGCCTTTCAGACATTGATTGCGTAAACGAGGTGTCATACGTCACCTCAAGATCGGGTGACAGGGGCTGACCATGCCCGAACCTGATTAATCATTGATTGGGTCTGAGGTCACGTAATTATGAGCCTATGATGTATGAGCTGTCACGTGACTATGACGTCACCAGACCTTGTAGTCCGTTTCCCGCTCATTGGACCAGGTGAGCTTGCATGCTTGTGAATGTAAATGTAAGTACAGCTGTACTGTAGTTTATACCTAATTAACCCCTATACACTGTCACTATGCACTATAGGAACCTGAAAAGTGGTTACTGCATACTGGAGGGAGAAGTGCCAAGACTACATGCGCTACATAGACGCTGTTGTCAGCACTGCGCGCGCGCGCACGAACCTTCACATTAGGGTTCGTGGACTTGAACTCTGAAACAAGCGCGCCCGAAGTGGCGCGAAAGCAAGCACATGGTTAGGTGAAACATCGTCAATATCAATTATTATATCAACTCCAAAATCCACTAAATTTTTGGACAGTTGTGAAAGCCCTATTGGAAGGTTTTTTGATTCACAAATTTTCAGAATGATCTCATTCAAGGAACCAAAAATATATCCGAATAATACGTCAAAAATCCTCGAATTTCGATAAAGTACGCAAGTTTTAGATTAACTTTTGCTCCCGCAAAGCCACGCATCACCAATTTTGGCACCTATGCGAAAGTCACTGATGATTCCAAAAACGTATGACAAAAATTTATATTGTAAAAAGGCTCACACTCTCCAAAAAATGTGAACAAAAATTTTGAAAATCCGAGCAACTTTATTTTTATCGTGCACCTCCAACTGGAAAGACGAAAGGTATAAGGTATGACTATGACATCGTCAACATTCGCCAAACCATCAAAACATTGATTTTCTATCACAGTATCACGCGCCGCTTTTTCTCAAACTATTAGTCCAAGCCAAGAAGTACGAAGTAGCGCACGTCGCTTCGGGCTAGTCCATTAACAATGATCAAATAATTTACTTGTTCGTACAAAATTTAGCACATATTATACGTTACTAAATTACAAGTTATTCTGCAAATTAAGCTATAAGCGTTACTGTGCCGCGCCGCGCATCCAATTATGCTTCTCGCTAGATCTGCGAAATGCGCTTCTGTGCCTCGCCGAGCTTAGTGTGGTTGGTTTTATCCGATTTTTTTAGATTTTTATGGAGGTTGTACCATTGTAAAACTTACATTGTGACAGTATAGATGGCGAAATATTTTTGAAAATGGTCCTAACACAGCTTTGATCGTAACAATAACATTGGGTGAATAGATTGGGTGAACAAACTATGAAGCAGGCAATTATATGTGCTCATCCATCATTCTGCATATGTAAGCTCAGTAGTTTAATTGCTGATTCATACTCAATGGTGAATCGATAGAATTCATGTGTCGGAGATCTCGTGAGAACACCTTTTAATAATTATAGCCCTCAGGATCGCATTATCCCGATCCGGCCGTAATGTGTATTGAGGTATGCACTAATTGTAGTGGTGAACGGTTGCAGCTCAGGCTATGTTTCAGTATAACTATATATCAGAGATCGCAGTATATTTACACATTACATTCTACTCGGATTGCAGATTGAAATATTTTCCTGTTGGAACCATGACACATGCATGGGAATACCAAAATATTAATTGTAGTTGTACAACTAATATGATCAATAATTAATAACGGCAACGCTAATTTGTCCTTATTGGACTTTATTTTTACGGACATAAGTTAATAGTTGCTGCAAATGCCAAATGCTACAACTACAAGTTAAGCCCTATAAGCGTTCATTTTAATGTCCGTTCATTTTAATTTTAATATCCGTTCGAATATTGGCGGACGTTTTAAATTGTAATTAAATAGACCATTGAGCGGTCGCGTTTATTTTAATGTCCGCTCAAAATTATTCCCGTTCACATTATTTCCGGTTGCAGTACGGGTAAAATAACGTCCGAATAAAGCTATCCGATAAGCTCAGGCAGAGCTTTCGGACTGCGTAAAACTAAACAACTTGAAACGTTGAAGAACGCCGTTAAGACATCTGTTGTTAACTCACCTAAAACACAAACATACAGTTCAATGGCGAAGAATTCACAGCCAAAGCTGAGCAAGTCATAAGCTTGGAAACGCTCAAAAGCGTAGTAAAACGTGTTGTTGAGGAAGAGGACCGCAGTCGCAACGTCATTGTATTTGGTCCGTCACAAGGGAGCGAGATATATAGAGAACTTATTGACACAGTTAGCGAGATTTTTCAAAACATTGGACAGAAACCGAAGATTGTTGAAGCGTGCAGAATTGTCACGAAATCTAAGGACAATTCAGTTACAGCATCATTAATAAGTGAGCTTACGTTATTCGTTTAAGTCTGTCTGTCTGTCTGTCTGTCTGTCTGTCTGTCTGTCTGTCTGTCTGTCTGTCTGTCTGTCTGTCTGTCTGTCTGTCTGTCTGTCTGTCTGTCTGTCTGTCTGTCTGTCTGTCTGTCTGTATGTCTGTCTGTCTGTCTGTCTGTCTGTCTGTCTGTCTGTCTGTCTGTCTGTCTGTCTGTCTGTCTGTCTGTCTGTCTGTCTGTCTGTCTGTCTGTCTGTCTGTCTGTCTGTCTGTCTGTCTGTCTGTCTGTCTGTCTGTCTGTCTGTCTGTCTGTCTGTCTGTCTGTCTGTCTGTCTGTCTGTCTGTCTGTCTGTCTGTCTGTCTGTCTGTCTGTCTGTCTGTCTGTCTGTCTGTCTGTCTGTCTGTCTGTCTGTCTGTCTGTCTGTCTGTCTGTCTGTCTGTCTGTCTGTCTGTCTGTAATTTCCAAGCGGCTTAATCAAGAAAACGGTAAGAGTTACGGTGGTCTATATATTTACTAGGCGGCGTTCAACTTGTCATTCTGTTTATAAACACAAAAGCTGAGGTCCCCAGGTAATGAAACATATTAACATAATATTAATATTATGAATTGGGTCATGCCATGTGAATTTTATATGCTAATCTGCATTCATCACGGT